ATATAACTATAATTTTCATTTCTAGAAAAAAGTTCTCCTGTAGATCCTGAAGGACCAGAAGGTGTATCAAATAGCTTATCATTGTGGTTTACTTTTTATTTTATTATAATATAATATGAATTTGGCCGGTTGCTTTTGGTGCAGCTCCACTTGGTTATTTGGCTGAGATCATTCCTTTTTATTTATTTATACAGTAACCCCTCCCTATAGTTTAAACATCAATTCGGCTTATCGTTTACCAAAACGAACCTTGCTGTAAACCCTACCCTCTTACCCAACATCCCAGTGACTCCTCGTGGAAGTGCAGAGGATTTCTCGGCTTCCATCAAAGCGAGTATCACGTCAACACATTCCATTCCTACCAATTCCTTTCTTGACCTGCGTTCAGGTGCGGCTGGCGCTGGTATTGCCTAATTCGAGATCACCAGTTTTTACACATTGAGGATGATTGCTAGTCCCAAGCATCGTCTATTGGTTCTCTGTGTAATTACAGCTGATCTGGCAATAACAGAGTAGCAACCGTGGGCGGTCAATCATGCTCATGCTCATGTACGTCTGGGGTTTTTTTTCAATGTTTATTCTCAAGATGAATAGAAATAATTTCATGCTTTAGGATTAATTAAATAGTTGTATCGTAAACCACATTTCAAACCTCCTTCTTCCCTTTTCCCATCCAAAAATTGTAAATCTCCACTAACCTCGAGACGACCGCGAGTACTCGGTCCAGTTCCTTTAACTTTAAATATAAGACAGTAATAATGTATAACGCAAAGGATAACTCGGCTCTGTAAAGTTTATTCGATTGAGCCTGTACAAATAAAGTAATTACAAAAAAAATAAGGTGGGAACCATATTTATGATTGAGTTCCTCGAAAATTTCAAGGGCACACATCTTCTTCTTCTTATTCTTCGCATTTCAAGCTTATTGCTTATCGCATATTAGCTTATTGCATGGTCTCAACTTAGTGTTCTAGATGCACTTCCACAGTTATTAATTGAGAGCTTTCAATGCCTGTAACATTTTTGCATTAGTATATAATTATGGAATCGAACCAAGCCACCTCCTTCAGCATGGTCTTGATTTGTAGCTGCGCTTTTACCGACTGAGCTTAGGGAGGCCCCCAAGAGCACACATATCAGCTCCCAATATGCATGCAGCAACGAAACTGGAACTTCACGTTTGCTGAAGTGCAGCAAACAGTGAGTTTCAATTTCATGAACGATGTCGCAACAGTTTCTGAGATTTGTGTGTTAGAAAACTTGAAGTGTTAGCCCAAGTAACATTTTAAATTTTATTAAATACTACATAGCTACAATAAAACTAACATTCATAAAACCCTGTTCAAGGCTGTTTTGCCATTGATGCATCCACCAAAACCTCATTAAGACTAGGGGTTGGTCCACCTTGGAGAAGGTTCTGAAAGATGTATTCTCGCAGCTCTTCAAAATTGATTCACTGCAAGAAGGTTATATGACGAACGCATTGAGAACCATTTTAAAACCGTATTTAAGCTACAATAAAAGCTATTTGGTAGCAAAAAAAACCCTTTCTTGACCCGTTTTCCCTAGCTGCTTGCTAAATCCACTAGACAAGCATCAATCAAGATAGAAAATAATTCATAATTACCATCCGATTTTATCAAAATAACTCAAATAAAAACTGATCGTATAAAAATCCTGTTGAATTACAAATATTATTTAAATAGTTCTCAAAAACTGCCCTAGTCTGCCTTATTAAATCTTATGTGAAATGTACGTGATAACACCGAAAAAAAAACTTAGTCCGCCCTCGGAGAGCGTCGATTTTACTAATTATTTTACATTTAAGTAAAAACAAAATTATTCTTAAGATCAATCATCAACCTTAACCAAGATTTTATTAAAAAAAATCTTATTTTAAACATTTACTTTTGACCAAAAGAAATGTAGATTGAAAAACGAAGATTGTGAACAACCAATAAAATAAGGGTAATATGGCGGAGGTATAAAAATTGATTTGGACCATTTGTGAAAAAGTTGCTTTGCTTTCAAGAAATCCCTAACAAATTCGAAAGGTTTTAAAAAGGCTTTTATGAAGAAGAACTGAAGAATGAATTGTATTTATCTAAAGCCATTTTGCTTGATCCTAACTCGTTCAGATTTATGCCAGCATTTATGGAGGCAAAGCTGCCGGCAAAAATTAAACGTCAAAGTTTGTTTATCTTTCTATAGTTGCGCTGTGCGATCCAGCGTTCTTCCAGGCAATGGATAGGAAGCAGTTGCTCAGAAAATTTTCGATACTGTTGTATTATATTTAGCATTTCGAACAGCTTGTTCCCGAAGAAGATCCCCTTCCTCTGGATGGTTCCCGAAGTGCACCATCAAACGACGCAGGAATGTACGCTTGAAAGAAAAATTTTGATGAGTTGACCCTTTCGCCGAATAAAATCGCTGCCATGGATCGGAAATCAGCTAATCTCTGCTAACTGGCAGTTTGGTAGTTTGCTGTCGGTACTGATCCAAGTAATTCCGATCGTCACCTATTGGTACTTCTTCAGCCGGACGTGCTGGTTCTTCTAAAGTAGTAAATTTGGCTGAAATTGACTTCTCTTCGATCGTTAGATTTTTTTTTTTTTTTTTTTTTTCTTTATTATAGAGATTTTTAGCCTGAGGCTAGTTCATCTCTATTCGATCGTTAGAATCGCTTGAATTTGTCATCCTACTTCGTCTGTCCTTCGAGCTTTCCTTGTTATAAATCCGGAGTGATTTGAGATTTGGGCGTAATTGCTAATGTAAACAAAAAAGTCAATTGCCGCTTTCTCTTGAATTAAAGCTCAATCTCATAAACAAACTATACCAAATGATAGATGAATCATTCTTCTATCTCAAAGCGTAATTAGTTTGTTTTCGAGATTGAGCTTTTATTCACGAGAAATCGATGATTGACGTAATTGTTTAAAAAAGCAATTACGCCCAAGTCTCAAATAACTCCGGAAATGTTGGTTTTATTCACAATGAGGATCCATATCTTTTAAGTTCAATTTGTAAATAGAGCAATTGTGGATTTAATAATACACTTTGAAAAGACTAAAAGCATTAAAATATGCCTTTTGCTCTCATTTAAAACCTAATTGCTTTTTTAATGATTGAACACTTTTATAGAGTATTTGATGAATAAACAATCGCTGATGAAGTTTATGATTAAATTACAGAACAGTGTTATGAAGGGATTGAGAACTGCTTTAAATTTATGTTAAAAACCAGGCAATCGTCGAGAAAGTCAGACTATGAAAGCAAATAGCCGAATTACTAAACAGCAATGTTTTACACTTTAAAATGATGTATTTAAACTAAATGGATTGTTCATTGCCATTATAAAATCATCATAAATTAGAGTGGATGCCAAATGGTTGCTGAATTGTTACTTGGCAAGACTTATCAGCAATCATGGCGGTTATTTGTGGACTCTTTAGGGAATCACCTTAAGGTTATGCTTTTCCGCTTAGTTAATGGATTTCCGTTGATACTAACTCTACACCCATTCGAATCACACCCAAATTGAAAATGCACCAAGCATGGACAATCGTAAATAGAATATTATTTTTAAATTATAATTATTCTACTACTGAAATGACAACTTCAATTCCAAGATTAAAAGTTCAGGGAAGGCACGCTGAAAGACAAAGAAGTTCTACTGATGTTCAGAGAAGTCTTGCCGTAGTTCAGGAAAGTCCTGCCGACAGTTCTGCCTACAGTTCTGCCGACAGTTCTGCCGACAGTTCTGCCGACAGTTCTGCCGACAGTTCTGCCGACAGTTCTGCTGACAGTTCTGCCGACAGTTCTGCCGACAGTTCTGCCGACAGTTCTGCCGACAGTTCTGCTGACAGTTCTGCCGACAGTTCTGCCGACAGTTCTGCCGACAGTTCTGCCGACAGTTCTGCCGACAGTTCTGCCGACAGTTCTGCCGACAGTTCTGCCGACAGTTCTGCCGACAGTTCTGCCGACAGTTCTGCCGACAGTTCTGCCGACAGTTCTGCCGACAGTTCTGCCGACAGTTCTGCCGACAGTTCTGCCGACAGTTCTGCCGACAGTTCTGCCGACAGTTCTGCCGACAGATCTGCCGACAGATCTGCCGACAGATCTGCCGACAGTTCAGCCGAATTTCAACGAAATCCTGCCTAAGTTCAGGGAAGTCATGCCGATGTTCAGGAAAGTCTTTCTGAAGTTGAGGGAAGTTCTGTCGAAGTTCAGGGAAGTTTTGCTGAACATCAGGGAAGTTTTGCCGAACTTCAGAGAAGTTTTGCCAATGTTCAGGGGCCTGTCAAACTTCAGGGAAGTCCTGTCCAGGTATGACAAATTATTTCATTCATTTCGTGCAATCATTTACATTCATTTGCCAACTTTTTCCATCATCAGAATTCCGTAAAATTATGTTTCTAGCTTGTGTAAAGTTTGATATTAACTAAAACTTTTGTAAATAACTCAAATTTTTATTTCTTATGCAGGACGAACTAAAGCGGGCACATTTTGTTATTATTTTTCTGTGAATGTAATTTACATTCACTGAAAAACAATGGTGGGTTCTGTTCACTCTAGTTCATCTTGTATAAGAGATACAGATTTGAGATACAGTTTGAGAGATACAGAAAGTTGTAGTTAATATCAAAACCTACAAAAGCTTCCTACATCATTTTACGGAGTACTGTTGATGAAAAAAGTTAGAGGCAAATTAATATAAATGAATGTACGAAATGAATGTGAATGATTTACCATGCCTGGTCCTGCCAATGTTCAGGAAAGGCCTGCCAAACTTTGGAACGCAGGACGCTGAAGTTGATGGAAGTCCTGCCCCTTCAATTCGTGGAAATCAGGGAAGTCCTGATGAAGTTCAGGGATGGCCTGCCAATGGTCGGGGAAATCCTGCTGACTTTCAAGGAAGTCCTGCCGAAGCTCAGGGAAGTCCTGCCCCTTCAATTCTTGGATGTTGGTTTATTTTCACAATGGTTGATCCAAGATGGAGAATGATTTGCAAAAATGGTGGGTTTAAAATGGTAAGTCTTTGATAAAATGTTCAACCTTTCGAAAAATAATACTGTGAATGCTTATAATATCTCCACTATTGAAATTGTAAATTTCAATTACAAAATGTTGGATGGTTTCAAAATTGGGTATTGGGATGGTGGGTCTTCGAGAAAATAGTCGATCTTCCAATATTAAAGTATAGTTATAATTATTCCAATTATACAACAATTACAATTTCAAGATTCAGTGTTCACTCGGCTGTCGACAAAAGAAGGCCCCTCACGATGTGTGTCACGCGATCGTCTGTTTTCTCGGCAGCAACCATAGTGTGGTCCTCCTCATTGTTATTCATCAGCAGTTCTTTCGGTCGATGCGTCGTCGACTTTGAAAAGCAACCGTTTAGTGATGAGTGTGTGAGAGCTGACCACGTTTTACGTCCATTGCTGCTATGGAAGCGCTGTGCCCCCTATTGGCGTAACTGCCATACAATGAAACCACTGGAAGCGGTTCTCGTTCTGATGGAGGAGGCTTATTGGATAGCGGAAGATAAAGTATTTATTGTGTTGTACCTTTTGACTATAGTTTTAAGATGTATTGTATAGTGACCAAGAATCCTCGGTTCTGTAAAGTAAATTCCTTTGAGTCTTATCAAATAAATTAATAAACAACACTTTTAAGATAGAGAATAAACTAAAAAATGGTTGATTCAAAATGACGGTTGATTAAAATAATGGTGGATCCAAGAAGGCTGATGAATTTCAAAATATTGGTTTCATGATGTCGGGTCTTTCATGAAAAATTCGATCATGCTAAATGTAATATTGTTGTGTAGTTTTGATAATTCCACTATTGAAATGACAATTCCAATTTGAAAATGTCGGTTTATATTCAAAATGGTAGATCTTTGATGAAATGTTCGATCTTTCTCCATATGTACCATACTGTTATATAGTATTGATAGCTGCTCTATTTTTCAGTCGTTTTAACACTTTTGGATCATTCGTGACTTGTTCGAGGGGGAGGGGGGGAGGGATTTGATTTGAACTCGTGACTTTGGCGTGAGAGGTATGGATGCCAACCACTACGCTGGGGTCGCCTCCTCGTAACTGTACTATTGAAATAATAAATTCCAATTCCAAAATGATGAATGATTTTAAAAATGGTGGATTAAATCATGCCATCAAAATTCAAAATGTGTTGATTTCTTAAATATTTGAATATATAGTTCAATTTATCTAATTATCTATAAACATACCATGATTTATCAGAAAACCTTCATAAAAAGTCTGACATTTTCACAGCATATTCTCAAATACTTGTGAAACAACCAGTGAAAATTGATGATCAATTCGGTAAAAAAACACTTAAGCAATGGCAAAAGTGGGTGATTTCTAAAATAGTTCAATTTATATAATTATAATTAATATTTTCTAACGCTTTCATCAAGCAATTCTTGCGCAGAGTTGACATTGCCGAATAATTATTAGAGCCATGTTCAATTATCGATAGTTTTCGCAGAATACTTCAGATACCTTACAATATTCATCAATTAAAGGGTGATACGGTCAAAATTTGGTCAATATCAACTTGACGTATTTCTTTCAATTTTGCATTTAAAAAACCTGAACACCCCTGAAGGTGTGTGTGTGTAGAATGTTGCTCCTATTTTGATTTTGGAATTCACTCTTCAGTTGTCAAAATGCCGTCCAAGCAAGAAGAGCAGCGTATCAAAATTTTGCTCGCGCATCGCGAAAATCCGAGCTACTCGCACGCAAAGTTGGCAAAATCGCTAAAAGTTGCCAAATCAACCGTTACAAATGTAATTAAAGTGTTTGGGGAACGTTTGTCGACAGCCAGGAAGTCTGGATCGGGGGGAAATCGAAAACCGGAAGCCGCTGAGACAACAAAGAGAGTTGCCGGTAGATTCAAGCGAAACCCTAACCTCTCTCTCCGAGATGCCGCAAATAAGCTGGGTGTATCGTCTACAACCGTGCATCGAGCCAAAAAACGAGCCGGACTATCGACTTACAAGAAGGTAGTGACTCCAAATCGCGATGATAAACAAAATACGACGGCCAAAGCGCGATCCCGGAGGCTGTACACGACGATGCTGACGAAGTTTGACTGCGTGGTAATGGACGACGAAACCTACGTCAAAGCCGACTACAAGCAGCTTCCGGGACAGGAGTTTTATACGGCAAAAGGAAGGGGAAAGGTAGCAGATGTTTTCAAGCACATGAAACTGTCAAAGTTCGCAAAGAAATATCTGGTTTGGCAAGCCATCTGTACCTGTGGCTTGAAAAGCAGCATTTTCATAGCTTCCGGGACTGTCAACCAAGAAATTTACGTGAAAGAGTGTTTGAATAAACGTCTGCTGCCTTTCCTAAAGAAACACGGTTGTTCCGTACTGTTTTGGCCGGATTTGGCATCTTGCCATTACGGTAAAAAGGCCATGGAGTGGTACGCCGCCAACAACGTGCAGGTGGTTCCCAAGGACAACACGCCAGAGCTCCGCCCAATTGAGAAATACTGGGCTATTGTCAAGCGGAACCTAAAGAAGACCAAAAAAACTGCTAAGGGCGAGCAGCAGTTCAAGGCAAACTGGCTTTCTGCGGCGAAGAAGGTGGACAAGGTGGCTGTACAAAATCTGATGGCAGGGGTCAAGCGCAAGGCCCGGCAATTCGGATTTGGAAAAGCGGAAGCCTAACTGAATATTTTTCCTGAAGTTTATACTAATTATTGCGCATGAAAAACGTCACGCGCGAGCTTGATCATGCTCTCGGTGCTGATGATTTTACTTACTTAGTCATTCATAGATCACCCCGTCGTGTGGCTTTATTTTCGTATCTCTGTTTTGTGCGAGCGTTCCAAATCACATTGGCCTTCCACCTGGAGACTGCTTACGCACAGATGCATGATGCATGCAAAAACGAAGAAAAAAACAAGAAGACTGGCAACTTTGCCAGAATCCAAGCGACGTATACAGTCGCGCTGCACTTGAGTGAAGGTGGAAGCAACGCATAGAAAAATGAGCAAATACACAAACCTTTCTTCTGAGGATGTAATTTTTGCTATCAAATTCGTTCAAAGCATTTACCTTTGAGTGGCATATTACGCGATTGTACCTGTCTCATAGCGTTTGTATGAGAAAATGGAAGAGTTGCCAGTCTTCTTGATTTGTTGTCTTCGGCAAAAGCCAGTTGATTTCTTAGGAAATCGAAATCTAATGCTTGGGGTTGCGTTACAAAAAAATGGGTTTGAACAATTTTCTACGCAAAAAATTTTTTGAACAATTTTCTACGCACGGTGAGGGGGGGGGGGTCAATAATCAAAAAAAAAAACTGTCTACGTAGTTAATAACCAGCCCCTTCCCGTCATGGCAACATTTAATTGAATATTAAAAAGGAAATAATTTCTTGGGGTACCAACGTAAACAAGCGTATTGAAATAAAAATCAAAAGATCGATCTATCAAAGATTTTGGTAAAATTTGAGGATGGCCCCTTTGTCTTGTTTTCCGTCCGTGTATTTGTTCAATAACCTTACCAGGATTCGAAATAAAGTTTAACCGAAATACTCATGGAATTGACAAGTTTCATATCGCAACTATATAAAACGATATCCAAGAAGTCAGTGTCATATCTGAGATAAGAAAACAACAAGTTCTTGAAATCGGATTTTTTTTTTTGTTCTGTACTTATTTCGAGCGGTTCAGCTTTGATTAACTTGAAATCGTCAACCAATTGGTCAACATATGTACCAATGCATGACCTCACATACGTTGGTTTTCCAAATCTTCTCAAAACCGCAATTAGATGTGCAATTGTCCCAAAAAAAAATCACATGCCAGAGAACTCAAATTTCTTGTCTTCACAACTGAACATGCATGCATGCATAAGAAACAACGAAACAACAACAAAACATAATATTGTAATTCGATCACTTATCAACCGATCGTTTCCTTTAATTGCCCCCTTCGGATCGTCACACCGATCGTCGTTTGGAACCAGCACCAGCAGCAGCTTACCAAAGAAAGTCTGGAGTAGGGGGGGTCACCGTTTTTCTCTCGGTTTGAAGATCAAGCCAGCCAGCCCAACGTGGTTCGGCGATGGAAATGCAGTCAGTGGCAAGCTCGTATATATAGACAAGGCCGATGGACCAGAAGGTATCAGTGTGCATTCAGCCAGCAAATTTGTAGCGTGTAATTAGATTTTCTTAAGATCTCGAAAAATACAGCAAACATGAAATTGGTGAGTCGGTTGCTGATGAGTGGAGTGGTGTTCGAAATAGACTCACACGCATTTGGTTACGCGTTTTGGAATCAATTAGAGGATGATTTGTGCGAATTGTGTAATTGTGTGATTTTGTGCGTTCGTTCTGTGGATGCCGTTTGTTACTCATTAGTGGGTCAGTAATAATACGAATGGAATTTTGCTTCTTTCTTTCTGACAGTTCATCGCACTGTCCGCTATAATGGCCATGGCCGCTGCCGGTGGTGACCACTATGTGGAACACAAGCACATTCCGATCGTGCACAGCGAGCTGTTGCAGAACAGTAATGGTCAGTTCAAGTATGCCTACGAGTCGGGCAATGGAATCCAGGTTCGGGAGGAAGGTCACGTCAAGAACTTTGGACAGAAAGACCATGAGATCAACGTAGCCCACGGATCGTACTCGTACGTCGATCCTCATGGTGTTCCAGTGTCGGTGAGCTACGTTGCCGACGAAAATGGATTCCAGGCCCATGGATCGCATATCCCAACTGCACCACCACTACCCAAGGAGCTGGTTGAGGCCTACGCCAAGGTTGGCAGTCATCCAGAGGCCCACCACGATGAAACAGAAAGCTACAAAGGTCACTAAGCAGATCCGGCCGTGAGCTGGAGATGATGTCCTACATGCCTCCCAGATGAGCAACATGCCAATATGTGATAGTCTATCCGATTGTCTGCCGGATAGTGCCTAGTGAATTTTATCTTGATAGGTACGATTTTCAAATTCAAAAGAGAAAAAATATAAATAAATGAAATGATATTAAACGAAATAGCTTGGATGTTGTATTACTTCATTTGGGTACGTACACACATTGACCATGATGACAGTGACGTGGTTGAACTACATCGTTTACCTGGTTTGCGTTGCCATATTTATAGTCTCTTCGCCGCTTCCGCCGCTCAACAGATGTCGAATCAGGTAGTGGTTTTCTTTTCATTTTCTTATTGCATATATATTGCATTATATACTTCCATATGTGCACCGTAGAAAGATAATTAAATTGATTGATATGTCATTCAAGTGTTGTTACGATTATTATTATTATTAGCCCATTATAACTTGATCTACCTAAGTTCCAATAAAATATAATTAATGCGTTAATTACACATTCTCTGCAATGGAATACAATTATCCTCATAATTCCCTTTGAATTCAACTAAGAATTTATTCTAGGGGGGTTGGGAGGAAATGTAATACTAATATCAACACCGCTAACAACAACCATTAGACAGTATAGGTGCAAGTCAAACGCACACTCTTTTGCCTGTGGATTTGAGGAAATACCTTAAATCTCCTCACTCATGAAAGTGTGAGTTAGGTAAAGGAGTGGGCATTTGATTGGTATTGTAGCATTAATGGCCCTTCGTTCAATTTCTACTTCTTTTCTATTTTCACACTGCTGCACTCTAGTGGAACTATCAATATATCCTCTTCAGAACATTCCCTAGAAGCTAATAAATTATCGCAATAAAAGCTTCCTGTTTATATTCAGCTATTCCATAGTAAAACTATATAGTGATTCTCAGAATTTCATATATATATTAGCAGTTTTGTTCCTTGTCGCAAAATATTAGACCAATATTTTATATTTTATATGTTAGAGTGGTCCAAAAAATCAACTTATTTTCAAAAAATAAATAAAATTTTGTAACCACCGATTTCAAAGATCATAATATAATATGAAAGGCAATTTGTATTTAAAAACATTGGTATTATTTTTATGGTTTTCATGAATTTTTATTGTTTTCATGGTTTGTATACAGAGGGTGCAATATTATTATTATTATTATTTATTAGTGACACTTTATCACTTCTGTGACATTCGTGTCTCTTTTTTATGACAGATTGAATTATCTTACGAACTAAATTTCTTTGAATAAATTAGCATCTTTCAAAAATTTAATTACTGCTTTTTCTTTGCTGGGGGTGTTTGCAAGAACATTTGTTATTGTCCCATCGATTCCACAGTTTTGCCTAAATTCGGCAAATCCTCTGCAATCCACAAGTATATGATGCACAGTAAGTCAAGTTCCACAAAAACAGCACATTGGTGGAGATTTGTTTTCCAACACGTGAGAGTGAGTCAGCCGAGTGTGCCCGATGCGTAATCTGGTAAGAGCTCGCTGCTCAGATGATTTTTTTCTGTCAACAAATTTGCCTGCAGTCGGTTTGATTTGACGTAGGTGTGCCCAGGTTTGTCTCCACACATTTTCCCAAACACACCAAATGCTTTATTTAATAAACCGCACAGCATCCTGGGGTGGAATTTGCATGTTTGGTGGAATTCCCTTCCGCCCTTGATTTGCCAGTTTGTCAGCTTCCTCATTTCCCAGAACTCCTGCGTGACCGGGAATCCAACAAAACACAATTTTAGTTCCAATAACTTCGCGTTCAATTGCTTGGATCCAAGGATGAGTTGATTTCCCATTTTGAAGAGCATCTAGACAGCTGGTCGAGTCGGTAAATATGATTGTTGGTTCGTCTTTGCTAATTTCTGACACAGCAGCTTTGAGCGCAAAAGCCTCTGCAGAAAATATACTGCAGTTTCCTGGCAAACTGAAGGCAGTTCTTTTGGTATATGTAACAATTCCCGCACCAGTCTTCTCATTGTCCTTAGATCCGTCGGTGAATACTTTCCTGTGTGTTGAGTATTTATTTGTTACAAGCTCAACAAACATTGGCACAAAATCTTGACTTGAAGTGCCTGCTTTTACTTTCTCCCTCAAGTCGTTACTTATAGATGGTGATGGAGTATACCACTCTCTATTGGTTAGTCTTGGAACACTACAGATGTTCGGCATGGAGACTCCTGTTACTGCTAGAAACAGATCAGATGCTCGCTTAACCACTGGTAGGTCGGCTACTGATTTGTTTTTTTTTCCGCAAGTCGTATTGCTAGTTGTGATAGGCGCTGGATTAGTATTAGACGAAATGGCAGACACCCCGTTTCAGTCATAATGGAGGTAATTGGACTAGTTCTGAACGCGCCAGAAGCTTGTAGTATCACCTCATTATATGTTGGGGTTAGAGTACGTTCCATAGCTTCGATGTTGATGCTGGTGAAACCTAGGCCGTACAGTTGCTTGGAAGTCACGAGAGCTGAACCAATGGTAAGGAGAGTTGAACGGTTGCTTCTCACTAGACGACGTCCCAAAACTCGAAGTATGTTTAATCGCTGCCCACAGCTCCGTTTGGTTTGTGCAAAGTGCTGAAGAAGATTAATTTTCGCATCTATCAACACACCAAGAATTCGCATCTTTCTGACACGTGGTATAGGAGTACCATTGACTTTGATAGCCCGACCACGCTTTCGATGTTTCGTATCGCAGATGTGTAATAACTTTGATTTTTCCGGAGCGATAGCAAATCCAACGCTCGTAGCCCAGTTGGTTAATTCAGTAACTGCATTTCGTAAGTGTTTCCGAATTTGTGCAAAGTTTCGTCCATTAGCAATCAAAATTACATCATCGACGTAAACTACAATTTGAACATTTGGTGGAATCTTTTCGAAGATAGGTTGCATTGCAACTAAAAATAGTGTGACCGATAGAATAGATAGAATGGATGTTGCTCCATTAGCTGTAACCCTAAATGTTCTGTGGTTAAGGAAACTAATGATGATGTTCAACAAGCGGCCGTTTATTTTCCATGTAGTAATAGTCTTGAGGATTGCGGGTCTCCAGGTGGTGTCATAGGCTTTGGAAATGTCGAGTGATACTACTTCTGCATGTTGGTTCTCGCTGAGCTTGAGTAGTGCTTCCAACTGCGCCAGGTGTGAATCAGTGCCTTCGCAGGGTCGAGTTTGCCGTTGTTTTCAAGCTCTGTGAGGAGTCGACGGTTCACCATGCGTTCGAATGTTTTTCCTAGACAGCTTAGAAGGGCAATCGGTCTGTATCCGTCTGCTTTACTCCGATCTCCATCAGGTTTTGGAATTGGAATAACTATGCCTTCTTTCCACTCATCTGGGAATGTGCCACTTGTCCATACTTGATTGTACAACTGCAAAAGCGATTACTTCGCTGAGAATGGTTGGCGTTGTAGAAGAGGATAACCGATATTATCGTTCCCAGTGGAGAAGCCTCCTCGTCGATCTAGGGCCCACATCAATTCATCTATCGAAAATTCTTCGTTGTACCGTTTATGGTCCTTCGGGCGTAATGTTTTTGATGTTACATGCTTTTCCTTTAGTTTTGTCCTTCGAAACTTTTCTGTGTAATTTTCGCCAGAAGATTTTCTTTGATATTCGTCTGCAAGCGCGTCAGCTTACTATTTGTGCATCGTTGGTGACTCCTCGTGGGAGCTTCAGAGTTATCGAGTTGTTTTTGCTTTTCCCCTATAGTTGATTGACTCGGGTCCATATTTGACTGATAGGACTATTGGGATTTATGGTTTGTACAAAGTTTTCCCAACTTCCCTGCTTTGCTTCACAGATCATCTTACGACATACTGAGCGGGCAGCTTGAAAAGCTTGGAGTGCTTCAATTTTCCGGGGATCGTCGTTGCTAATTCGCCGAAGCGTACGTAATTTCTTCCTACGATGTTTCACTGCTTTTCCTACTTCGGGATTCCACCAAGGGACGGCTTTTGCTCCCACTTTTCCACTGGTTCTAGGGATACTAGCTTCAGCGGCGGAAGTGATGAGGTGGGTGAATTGTTCTACGGTGAAGGACTTCTGAGGGCTCAGAGATCTGCTACATAATTCCTCATATCGTTTCCAGTCTGCATGGTTGTAGATCCATTTTTTACGAAATCTGGGTTCAGTCGAAATGCCGGGGATATCAATCAGAATTGGAAAGTGATCGCTGTCTCCATAATCCGAGATTATTTTCCATGTAAATTTATTGGCAATGAAAGCGGTGCAGATAGATACATCGAGAGCTTGTGTGTATCCTGAAGCAGGGTCAATACGGGTGTGCGATCCGTTGTTCAAGACTACCATGTCTTGATCAATTGCTAGTTGTAAGATTTTGTTGCCTCTTTTCTGAGCCGAGTTTGTTTTGTGCGATATTCGGCTTCCCCAAGCAGAGTGGTGGGCATAGAAGAACAATCGGCTTTGGAAGCTCCTCAACCAAATTACGAAGTTTGTCATCAGCATTCTTATCATTAGGTGATAAGTATACTGAAACCAGTGTCATTTCCATTGGCACATACAGCCTTATGGCTACTGCTTGGATATCAGCATGCAGTTGAAGTCTTTCAAAGGGTGTACCTTCTTTTACTGCCAGACCGGCTCCTTGCATACCGTGGAATGAGCAAGGACTAAGTAGAAGCTGATAGTTTCCCCCAAGGTAGTTGGCCGCAACTTGATGTTCCCAGGTGTTTGTTTCTTGAAGACATACCACTGTTGGTTGATATTTTGTAAGGAGAAGTAGCAATTCGTCACGATGCGAGCGGAGCCCATTGATATTCCATTGTACAGCAAAAGTACGAGATACTCTTCCTACTTCACTATACGAATTGGAACTGGATGATTCTGAGAGGACATCGTCGTTAAGTGGTGATGACTCACGGTAATCATTGGTGTTGGTGAGTAAATATTGGTGTTGATGAGGATGCTGGATTAGTGTGCTCTGAAAGAACGTAAGTACACGAACAGAGCACGAATGCACTTGAAGTAGAGGAGCAAGAGGGGGTACTTGCCTGTGGAGCTAGCCGGCCCACGTCAGCTGCCGCCAGAGGCTCTTCGGGTAGACCCGGAACATCCCTGGTCAGGGTCGACGTGGGATGCTTCGCGCTTGGCATATCACGCAGTGGAGTCTTGTAGATTTC